TGAGTCATCATCTGAGGAATGGCCGCAATCTTCGAAGACGATCTCATCTTCAACCAGTCGGTGCTGGCTGGAGCTGGGCAGTGACTTCAGGTGGTCGTCGAGGGCTTCAGCAACCTTATAGGTACATACGAAGGAGGTTCAGGGTTTATAGGGGTGTCTGCTGCAATCGACGTACGAGCGAAGCGCATGTCTTCGATCAGATCAAACTACAAAGGGAGTAAGAGAGAGAGAGAGAGAGAGGGGGAGGGGGAGATCGAGAAAGAATCCAAAACAACATTCGAGAAGTGATGCCGAGCCACTTGCATTGCAAATCGTCCCGGGTAACTTTGTGTGCCCTTCAAGTCTTTCCCGCCTGCCTTGGATCATCGGTGCGGCTATAGCAAGTTTCGGCTTGCAGATGTTCTGTCGTGCCGCCTTGGAGTGCCACCTTAAATCACTGACTCGAACATCCAAGGTTCTCGTCGTTGCCGGCCTTCATCATCTTCCCATGTCTTGTAGATGTCCAGCTTCATATACGATCGGATTCGCTGGATCTGTTGCCTGGCTTCATGCAATATGACCACGAAATTATAATATCACCCAAACTATACCAGGCATGGGTGCTAAGATACGGATATGCATGTACAGGTGCCAGCATAAAATCATTGGCCTCCTTGGTGCAGAAAGCCGGCTGTAGAGCGTGCTTAGGAACGGGGCTGTGCCGACCAAGGTCACCTCAGTAAGGCGGTGAACTTCAGTGCTCAAATCAGGCTTGTAATGTGAAGGTTCTCGGGGAAAGTCTAGTGAGTCTGGTGTCTATAAGCTAGGGTACGTTTAGTCTTAGATAGGGCTTAGGGATTTATGGGCCTCAGGTTTCAGGGGTTTAAGTTGTGGGTTTGAAATAGCAATACATCTCTAATATGTAATGCACCGCAGGCTTCAGAGCAAACGGGAAAGAGCTGGGGATCTGGGTAGTGCGGGATTTGAATTCTGGGATATTAGTATATATAGACCCAACAAAACCAAGCTGCACATTTGGTGCTCGGTGCTCCCACTGCCCCAAGGCAGACGTTTACAGTTTTGGCGCCGTGGGCTTTGAGGCGGTCCTGGAGGCTGCCGGGTTCTGCGTTCAACAATGTAGACAAAAGCGAATCAGATCTGTACTTTGGCTCATAAGGTCAAGGATCCTTGATTGCAGGGTACTCGAAAAGCAAGGAGCTGACTGGGTTTTCAATAATATAATAGTGTCCACATCGCCAATGAAACTCCAGCCTCGGCCATTTCACACATCAGTATTTGAACTCTTGCAAGATTATGTAATATATGTGTAGTTGTAGGCCCAAAGAGCAGGTAGGCCAGTCTTCTGGCGATCCGGTTTCCATCTGCAACCTTCTGGCTGCTTTGTGAGCCTGAGTAGATTGATGTCCGAATCATATCACGAAGTCTTGCAGGCACCAGCCTATTCAACAATGCCGGGACACCTTTAACATTAAGTCGCCGTCTCTTCGTCGCCCCCTGGCTCCTTAGCAGATACTGTCGTGTCTATCAGTGCGGGAACTATAAGCATTAAGCAAAGACTGTACGCAAGCCCAAACGCATGAACACCCATGTTGAACATGGCGTTCCATACCAGCAAACACCATGACGTCGTAGCCTCCTCACCTCATATATTTTTGTACGGGCAGTGTCCAATGATCCATGAAGTGGCTGTGCACGTGCACAAAAAATATTAAGTCGTGTGAGCAAGTCGCGTTGTGCAGCGTGGCAAGAAAACCGAATGCCGTGAGGATGTCCAGCTTCGAGCTGTAAGCAACCTCGGTGTGGCGTGCATGTGTGCAAGTCAGAACGAGTAAACTTGCGGTGACGATATATCAGACTTTGCAAAGTTGCGTCCAACCCATGGGCTTTGAGGCCGTAGTGCAAGGCCGCCGATGTTAGGACATGGGATCCTGGAGATCTCTTTCCAATTTGGACACATCATAGGCTTTAACACAGAGCCCCACGGACTCAAAACAAATCCGTCCTGCGAAGACCTCCAAGAAGTCCAGTTCTTTGTCTGGCCCCACAGCACCAAAGGCTCAGATGATTGCCAAGCTGCAGAGATCATGCACGTGCCGGCCGTGTACTGTGACTCGGACCAAACTAAGGCGTGCACTCAGATGAAGGCATGCCAGCAGGGCAGCAAGGCGAGAGTACTTCATTATTGTATGTGGTACGATTGCTATAGTTGTCTGATCTCATGATGATCGAAGAAGTGCTTCTGTTTCTAAGTGGCTGCAGATGGACCAGTGGGTTTAAGGTTTCGACACACACACACACTCGCACCATCGCAAGGGTTCAGGGTTTAGGGTTTATAGGGTTTAGCAGAGTGCAGCCTCCATTCTTTTGCCGCCCCTCGGCACTCTCGAAGTGACGTGGCTTAAGAGCATGCGAAACGAAAAGCGCAATTAAATGTAGCGCCGCTTCTTCTGCTCTTGATAGCTGAAATTTTTGAGGACTTCTCGGCGCTCTTCGGAGTGTTTCCACCTGCAGGCCAGGGGCTAAATAGGGTTTCTCACTTTGAAGCAATAGCCCATACGATCGGAACTGGCCTGTGCTCCCTGTCCTTGGGGGTGCACCAAGAAAACAACCTCAGACAATGGCAAGTCTTTATAATATGGTGTGTAAATCCTAGATTGCATCTGCTCGCATGCATACATAAAGTGTCCAGTGGCGTGGCCATGTAAGCCTTCTTCGTCGTATTGTAGATGGTATCCTGGCGCTTCGCTTTGACCTTGGGTCGATCCTTAATCTTCGGGTCATCAGCCAGTGCCGCACATGTGCTCGCATCTGGAATTGCTGGTGTCGTACACGTGCTCGGATCTTTTTTGCCCACCTTCTTGTTCGATGCCACCAATAGCCGCTGTCTATGTGGGTTAACGGCCGATATTGCGTGCTTAGTGCAGGATTCAAGAGCCTTGCTGAACCCTCCGAACAAGCAGGGGTTGTCAAGTCGAGTGATATCAGCGGAATCAATCCGGAATTCCTTAGCTAGTGCAACCGTGCATTACAGCTGTCCTTCGTATCCCTATCGACCGATGAATGCTTCTCTATATGTTGTGATTGCATCGCACCCACCCTCTTTTTTTAATCAGTCTGGGCTGCGGCAGGTCCCGCCGTGTCTCGCTCGCGAGCATTCGCTTTGGCCTGCGTCATAAAAAGAAGGGCTCGAGTACACCACGTACACCGGATAAGATTCTAGAGGCTATGCAATAATTGCAGGGAGTGGGGGTTCAAACACCAGCCCCTAGGAAGCCATGAAGATTAAAGATCGAAGTCGTTCCTAGTTTCTGAGGCGAAGTCAGTAAATTGCAAAGTCTAAAGCCCTTACTAGTGTAACAAAGTGATGTCCTATGACCATCTAGAATTCATTGTCCAGCCTTGGCTGCAGCCTTCGGGCGTGCTTTGCCGTCAGCAAGAATCTGCATCGCCTTCTTGGCCTGGGATCTTGTGGGAAATTATGCTTGAAAATACTTGTAAACCCTAAACCCTATAAAGAGTGAACCCACCAGTTATGGCGTGCATTCGCAATATCATAAGATTACTGCTGTTCTCAAAGTGTGCTGCCAAAGCTCCTCTGTCGAAGCCGATGGCTTTTCTTCGCCAGGCGAGGTATCCTTACGATTCTGAGGACTTCGATTATATAGCATTCCGAAATACAAGAGAGAAGCGGTACCATGCACTCTGTGCTTCTCAATTGTGCTTCCACTGTGCATCCGACAGATACGAAGCAGATAGATCTTTGTGCACATGTATAATACACAGACACATGAAGCGTATACATAAACATATAATATATACATTTGCATGCGTATTAATTTTCATATGCATAAGATTATCTGCATGCATATAATTCTATCTTTTCTCTATCTATATATCTATCTTTTATATCTATCTATATATCTATCGATCTATCGATCTATCTATCTATCTATCTATCTATCTATATCTATCTAGCTATCATATATATATATATACATGAACGATCGAGTAGCGGCTAGCATATCATATATATATATATATGTGCATTCAACTAAAATGGACACATGTATACCACACCTAGTTCTCCGTGTGAAATTAAAAATGCTGCCGAAGCTTCCGGATCCGAGGCCGCCTGGCCTGTCCAATCTTCATCATTCCATGGTTCCTGGTCGCACATCCCCAGGACTGCAATAATCCGACCCAAACCAAAGCAAACAACCAAATCATATATACATGTGCATTCAACTAAAATGGACACATGTGCACGTATACCACACCTAGTTCTCTGTGTGAATTAAAAATGCTGCCGAAGCTTCCGGATCCGAGGCCGCCTGGCCTTTCCAATCTTCATCATTCCATGGCTCCTGGTCGCACATCCCCAGGACTGCAATAATCCGACCCAGACCAAGCCGAACAACCAGAAGCAGACGTCTATACTTTACTCAAAATATCTGCAACCAATCCTTCATCTCGCCCTTCCCTGGCTCATGCGTGGCCTGCCACAATATCTTATCTTCCACAAGGCATGAACGATCCAAGATCAGATTTAACCAAGGCTCATTCGGCGGGTCTTCCTTCCCCTCATCATCATCGCCCTCATATTGTATGAACCAAGACTCAATCCAAGAATCTGCAAATATATGCGACCTGCGACCAGGTTCAGCCAAAGCTCTTTCCATTGGTCGTCGTTCCACCAATCATCGCCCGCATTCTCCTCGCTTGCACATCAGCTAAACATTTATACTTATAAGAACTGTGTATATATGTACATATACAAACCCAAAATACAGAAACTGCATGCGTGTGTGAATACTGTCGCTTTTGCTGAGGTTCATGTTGCTTGTTGTCGCCGAACAGCGCCAACATCCCTTCTTGTGTGACCAAGCCAAAGCGCTTGACGGTTGTCGTTACCCGTTGCTTTTGTGTGTCCTGGCAAACGACCCCAAAGAAAGTTATAATAATTGATTGGAGATAGAATTTACGACTGATGCCTCCTTTCGTGGTGCATCCGCTTCCCAGGTTCCTTGGATGCAGGACCATTGCACTCATCCAGTCATATACCATGCGCCCAATTCACGACAACACAACAAATATATACAAACTGTAGTACAAGCTGCCATCATCAGCAACCCATCCTTGGTTGCTCTCGTCGGAGATGTCCTGGTCGGTGTGCAGGAACAACTTAAAAAATTCAAATAATGAATGCGGCGAGTGCGTAACCAATCTCAACCACTCCCCATGATTGCCTGCTCCGTCCACTCATCTTTTTCACCCGATTCTCCATCCTTGCCCGATAGGTCCTGGCTGAGGAGTGCATAGATCAAGCCCGCCCCCACCCCATGATTGCCTGCTCCGGCCACTCATCGGTTTCAGCCGATCCATCGTTGCCAGATACGTCCTGGCCGATGAGTATAGTGTGAATATAAAATAATGACCCAGCCCGCCCCACTCCATGACTGCCTCCGGCCATTTATCTTTGCTCTTGGTCGATGCATCCTTGCCAGATAGGTCCTGGCTGATGATTTCAAGAGAGCATATACATGTTGATTTCACTCGCATGTCGTGTATATAATATACTCACACAATATGACCTCCTCCGGCCAATCATCTTCTGGGGAGTCCTGAACAAGGTCTCCATCTCTCTCGCTCTGCAGGTTTCCGTCTACAATATTCCTCCCAGCCTCGATGTACTCGGCCTCATCGACTTCCCACTCTTCTTCATCCTGATCACGAGCAATGTATCCACATATTTATATTTGTGTATAGGTTTAGATCTATTTGCTCAAGACCCATAATTTGCGCAGGACACGTCGGCTATCTCGACGATGACCTTTTTTTTGGCCTCCCGATACAAGATTGAGAATTCCCACCATCTCGTAAATAGGATACAAAGGACATCGCCTTCGTGATCGGGATCTCTGAAGCTTCTGCCTGCGTGGAACATATTCAACACAAGAAGAATGATATAGAAAGATGATCTAGTTCGGACCTTCACCGATGCCGCCTGTTGTGTTGCTTCTTGTCGGCCTCCCTCCTGCAGTGACACTTATTGAGGTGGTACTTATACAATGAATTGATCGTGCCTCCCATGCAGCCCAGTTTGCATCTGTCCACGTGGCCTCCTTCGAACCAGCTGTGTATGTTGCTTGAACGCATGGTTTGTTGGAGGAGGCTGTGCCTCCCATGCAGCCCAGTCTGCATCTGTCCACGTTGCCTCCTTCGAACCAGCTGTGTGAGGCTCCTCCTGATGATGCTCGAGAACCAGATGATATTAGAGGCTCATGGTACTGTTGCTTGAACACATGGTTTGTACAATCGCCGCCAAACATGCAATGAATAGCTCTAAATGTAAACCCTGCAAATTCAAACGAAAATCCCAGACCTTGAAGTTCTTGCCATCACTTGACCACGGGCCCCAATTGTCATCTGATCCTGGAGCATCGTCTGGAACCTCCTCCAGCGAATGGTCTTCTGAAGCAAAGAGTGAGTGAACTTCCCGATTACGGCTCAAGGCCTTCTCTTCCCCTTCATGTTGGGACTTCTCGGGCTTCTCGTCCGACTCCTGCAAACCATATGTTTGAACAAACGATCACTAAAGTATAAGTCCTCATGCAGTGCCTCCTGCATCAATCTATTGCTTTTATAAGCACTCAATTTAAAATGATAATTGCACCTGCCATGCAGCCCATTCGGCGGCCGTCCACGTCTCAGACTCCTTCGAAGCGGATTAGACTTGTTTATATAATACATATGCCAGAGGATGCATGTAACCGGTTTAGGAAATTTGTGCATGGGACTGGGGGCTCCAATAAGGTTTATACACCTGAACAGCTCCGATGGACGTGTCGCACCTGCCAAGCAGCCCATTCCGCATCTGTCCACGTCTGACGTGGCTCCTCCGACACGAGCTAATTGGCTGGGGGTTTTAAGTAGTATAGGGCATATATGAAAACACACTATTGTCTCCTCGTCCTCCTTCGCATCATGATCAGCCGGCTTTGCGCATACCCGGCTCGGCCTTATATATCGGAAAGAGAGTTGAACCTCTAGCTGTCGGGGTTCCAAATATATGCTGCAAAGATTCGTCTTTTCTCGCAACCGCTTTGGTGGGCGAATCCCCGAAAAAACCTCAGATATATCATGCAACCAGAGATGATACAAACAGACCTGAATAAAGCACGACAACCGAGATGCGCTGTCGTTGCTTCTCTTCTTTTCCAAGCCAGCATCTTCATCGGCGGCTTCAGCTGGGTCCTGGTCGCGTGAGTAGATTCAAAATCCTGAGGGCTAGATTTATATCAGTCGACCACTGCTGTCCTCCACCATCCAGGGTTGGGTCTCCATGTCATCCATCATGACGACTACAAAACTTGCCTACCGATCTGTTTGACCTGTGATGCTACTGCATATACGGCGTACTGTCTGTAGCACACACATGTGCATATATATATATATATACATGAATACATATACAGGTGCACATGCATATATACAACCACCCAATAGATAGATATATATATATATACCTCAGGAACTGTCAAACTAGCGAATACAAATACAGCGTATACCACAACATAAGCACACCGAGTCCTCAAGATTCTGCAAGGCTGTCGATTTTCTGGCCTCGTGTTATAGAGTGAAGAAACAGAAACATGCAATGTATACTTCCGCCTGCCAACCAAAAAGACACTGCGTATAATTCAAGACTAGCCACCTTCTTCAATAAAGCATGAATGGCCTTTGCTTGGTCATCGAGCCATGCCTTCTCACTGAATCCCGGCGTCGTCGGAACTATCAGGAAAAGCGTTTTGTCGAGTGCCATCTTTGCGATGGCGTCACGAACCATGGCCTGTGTAAACAGGCGTTCCCCCGAAATGTCCCTTTGCACCCAACTGAAGCAGGCACGAGTCGATTTATGCCGCAAGGAATTCGTGGGCGACAGCATTCCGGACAAAGCGATGCGGTTCTGGTCGCCCTCCACCAAGTTGTCATACAACTTGGCAGCCAAGTATCCCACTTTCTCCCCACGGGAACCCATGATTGCAAGGAGTTTTTTTGTGTTGCAGTTATATAAAAGTTGCGACGGCAATAGTCAAGGTATGCACACGCAGCAGTATTATAGCATAGGAGTCGAACGAGTGGCTGCGAAAAGCTTGCACCTGTAGTTGGTCAGCTCTAGATTCTAGATATAAGCTAGCATCACAGGTCATCCTCTGCCATGCTGACTGCACAGACATGTTTGCTTCGCATGCCCCCTGGGAGCAGAAAAACCTGCAATCGGAGGTTCCGCAACTCGCACAGCATGAACTGCATGAGCAGGACTGCACAGCCATGTCACAGCTTGCACGCATGACTGCACAGCCATGTCACAGCTTGCATGACTGCACATCGAGCACTCATGCACATGCACGACACACGCACACACACACACATACATAATACATAAATATATATATATATA